TTTATAGATTAAAATAAGCTTTTATAGCGTGGTATAGTCACATAGATGGCTACTTAAAACAATAAGGATTACAAAAGAGTAGAGAAGACTAAAATCTATACTTTTTGATAAAATATATATATATATATATATATATATATATATATATAGAATTATTTTATTATACTTAGATGACATCCCAATATTAAGAAATGACAACAAAAATATCTTATAGCTCAAAAAAGAAATAATATGTACCTTTAAAATGTTAGATTTAGGCTACATAAAGATCTATTTTGGAGTTAAACTTCATTATTGTCAACAAGGATTTACTTCTATTTGATGCAATATATAAAAAAGCTCTTAGAACAATTTAAGATGACATTTTTTATTCCAAAAAATATACCAATGATTTAAAAAAACAAAGTGAAGAATGAAACCAATATTATATTATGTGAATTCTTACTTGAAAATGCATGAGGTACTTAATTATAGAAGGTAAAAATAGAAATTGTAATAACAAGGTCCCAATAATTCTGATAGAATTAAAAATAAATTCCAATTAAAGTTAAAGAATTCTAATAAAACCTTGATCAAATCCTATTGAAATCTTAAAATATTTATTAAATAAATATAAAGAAATTCTTAAAAATTCTTTAAGAAAATTACTAAAATTCTAAAAAAATAAAAAAATCCTAAAAAAATTGAAAATAAAAACCTTTAAAATTAAAAAAATAAAAAATTTAAATAAAATATAATAAAATCTTAAAAAAATATAATTAAATTCTAATAAAATCTTAAATCCTAATTAAACTCTAATCAAATCTTAAATTCTAAATCAAATCCTAATCAAATCCTAAACCAAATCTTAATGAAATCTTAAATTCTAAAATAAATCTTAATTAAATCTTAAACCAAATCCTAATGTAATCCTCTAGTAAATTAAAATCTAAATAACTAATAATTTAATTGTAGATTTTGACTCAAAAATTATACATCGTTTAATTACTAAGTTGAAAACAAATATAAAAAATTTGAAGAAGATCAAACTTACTAAATAAAAGATAAATTCTAAAATATGCTTGGATTTTGATTGATCTCTTTTTCTAATCTTATGCTAATCTTTCAATACCAATATTTCTTAATTACACTGTTCAATGGCTTTTAAAATTTTTATAATAGCTATTAACTAATAATTTAATCATAGATTCAAATCACTTAAAATCAATGCTCAAAGAAATGTTTTCTAGTCTACTCTTAAACCTTACTCTTTAATTAATCAAAGAACCTTAGAATTATTGTAGGAACATGGTTTTATATCTTGGGATTTGATTTTGATCTTGATTTACAACCAATTCTTTGTAGATATTATTTCTTGATTTTTTAAGCTTATGATGCAATAAATTACTTCTAACTTCTTTGTAAAGAAGCTTCCATTAATTTTTTCTTTTTATCTACTTTATTTTTCTTCATTTATGGCCGTATAAAGTAAATAGAAGCTTATTTTTCAAAGAAACAATATTAACACTTATTAATATTACTACCTCCTTGACTATTATCTATACTTATAAGGTAATTTTTTTATAAATTTTTAATTAATATCTTCTATAATATAATCCATAATTTTTTCTTTCACTTAATAGTTATATTATAATACAATATTTGAATCCTTACAACTAACAAACTCACTTGTTAGAATCCTATTGATAGCCTATAGTATGTGACAATTAGTATAGGATATTTAATATGTAGTTGATTATTTTTTTTGGTATTTCAATACAGTATTCTTTACAAGCTTAGATTATTGCCTATTACATGGTTAAGTAAGTTACAACCTATTTTGTCAATATTTCTACAAAAGTGGAATACAAAGTATTTTTTGAGGCTCCTAGAAACGTACTTAATTTTATAGATTGCTAGCAAAATTATAAATTAGCAATACAATACCAATTCATTTACTATGTGATAATATAAGCAACATCAAATTAGTAAGAAATCTAATAATGCATAACAAAACTAAATACATAGATCTAAAATACCATTACATTAAAAAAAAAAATTAAGATGGAAGCATTATAGTAATCTATATCTCTACCAAGTATCAACAGGGAGATGTATTTATTAGACCACTCTTGAGTCTTTAATTTATTTACAACTAAACATTGGCTAGTTTAATAAAAATGCCAAATTAGAGTCTTATTGTATAGAATTATAATTCAATAAGAGAGATTAAAAAGGAAAACAAAACAAAACAAAACAAAACAAAAATTCTAGGATTCTACTTATTGAATTAAGTTAAGAAAAGCCTTAATCTCTTATAGAAGCTTAAAACTCTTATATTCTACTCTACTAAACTGGCCACCTAGTTGCAACAATTGGACCAAAATGCATAGAACCTAAAAGTCATATCTTTACAAATTGCATAGAACTTCTTTACTTGCATAAAAGACAAAATTATAAAATTAAAGCAAAACTCTTGAAGCAAGAACATATTATTGCTTCATATAACATCTTATGATATAGTTGCTTTGACCAAAGACAAAGGAGTATATTCTTGTGATATAATTGCTTCACTTAAAGGCAAAAGAGCTTATTCAGACTTTATTGCACTTTCTTTAGTTTCTTCAATAATCTTGTCCTTGATTAGTGATCTTCATCAATATATGGAATCTACAAGATGAGTGAAGGTAATCTTCATCAACCTACAGAATCTAAAAGGTGGATGAAGATGATCTTCATCAATCCATGGAATCTATAAGGTGGGTGAAGGTCTTCAAAAATAGTAAGTTATAAACTTGATGAAGAATTATAAACAAAAACTATAAGATGAGCAAAATCAACTCCATGTACATTGAAGAATATCCACAAAATTAGACAATTACTTTATAATTGGAAATTAAACAAGAAAAACTAAGAATAATATTCTACCATTGAAAGTTCATCAACAAAATTCCTAAGGTGTTCGATAACTTGTATTTGCACTAATTAATGTTGAATCATCCATAATACAATGAGGTGTTGGATTATGGAGGGAAGGGGGGTTTTGATAAAACTCCCAAACATCTCATTAAAGTGACACCTCTCTAAATACTTCGCATCACCTTCTCCACAAGACTTATCCCATATCAATTTCACCTATAGTAAATCACTTCATCCACAATACTTGTCCCTCATTATTTCACCCACTAAGCAAGTTGAGCATAGATTGTTAGTTTAGGATTAAGCCAATGATACATACAAGTATACTATACAAGACATAGTAGTCATACAGTTGTAGTTGATCTTTGTTCGCTGAAGTGTATTACTCTGTATATCAATCTACAAATTTAGCTGTAATCTGCCGTATTACTTGATTATTGTTTTCTTGGTAGTTTCTCTCTTTGATCTGATGTGCGACTCTTGGGTGGCCTCTTCCGCATGCGCCTTCAAGCAATTTAGAATTTAGAAAAATGCCGTGATTGCTGTGACAATTAGACGGTGCACTGTTCTTCAAAGAAACCGGTATCGCAACAAATCACCAAAATGCCGAAGGTTGCAGAGGCCTAGCGTGTAGGGCAATCATCAGCAGGTACATTTGACTTTCTGTGACATATTACATTCTATGCTTAAGACCCCAGCTGTGAATACATCGGTACGATGATTATTTGCAAGAATTATTGCATATTAAATCTCATTGTTAGCTGATCTACAGACATGTTCCCGGCAGAATAATAACATACTGGTTTTCTAAGCATCAAAAGACCCGTTGTGCTGCTCCGTTCTTGTCCTCCAGTTTGATTGCTCGGTCGGGTTGTGTATATACCACTGATTGCTTTATTTCTTCACGCAGTAGTGGAAGATTTACTTGTTTTTCTTCTTCTGCCTTCTGCTACTTTTACGACTCTTAGCAAAGAAAGCAACTGACCAGCAGTCCCTACCTAGCTTCAACCCATTTTTTGTTTTCCACTGAAATGGACATACGTATCTTTACCTCGACTGATGTCGAGTGTATCAGAGGTTGCTTTCTTGTCTTCTCTCACTTACACTGTACTATTGAAACTCACATATTATTTTGCATTAGGTTATTGCGCAGCATGGGGCTGTTATTAGTGCATTAATGAAAATTTCCATTGTATGCATGTGTTTCTGTAGAGATTTTCTTGTATGAACTGTGATTGAGGTGAACAAATTGATCACGAACGACACTTCCCAAACGTAACTTGAGTGCAAGGCAGTTTGAGTCCCGGAAGTTGTTAGAGGAGGTGCTCCATGTCGAGAAGTTCCTGGAGGCAAATTTAAAAGGTGGTTTCGTAAATTGATTGGTTCCAGGTGTTACACGTATTTAGTTAGAAATAAATTATTCTGAGGAGGTGAGCAATGAATGCGAGGCATGTGGTACGGCCTTACCTGTGGAACCATACTCCCACCTCTTATTAATGACGTTCACATGGTTTGTGTCACCTCACTATTGATGCAGCCATTTGATGTCAGAAGATTTATGTCCATATCAACTGGCATGGAAGCCCACGTCCAACTGGGGGGCTCCAACTCTGTGTTTGACTTTCCGTATTCCGAGCGCGTGTTGATGGAGTTTGGAGTTGTGGCTGGAGGCATATGCATGACGTATCATATACTGTGCAAGATCATGCACAGTCTCTTGGATGGTTTTACTGGCACTAGTACTAATTAGCCTTCACACTGTATTATGGTAAAGTGGGTTTGACGCTGCTGATATTGCCTTTCTTGTCAGCTACCAGAATTCGGTGAACTAACCGCAGGCAACAGGGTTGTATGATATAACGTTAATAGCTCTGATAATTAAACTTGAGGAAAAGAACAGGTGTGAGGCTAAAAAGAAAGAACTTCACCAAAAGTATGAAGGTGAATTGTTGGCTCGGAAAAAATGGTGTACTTCCTCTATCTTTGAGCTAAATTGAATCATGAGTTAATTAAATAACTAAATTGAATCTTAAGCTTAAGTGGTGTGAACTCTTGATGGATAAAGGCACTTGTTATTTTCCCAAGGTCCTCTTCTGTCAACATAGGAGTTGACACCTCGAGATTCCTCGTCTGAAGCCCATATTGCACTTGCATTTCGGTGTTAAATGATGAGTTGTGGTGGAGTTTCAGTGGAGAATGCTGATGATTGGCCTTTATATTCTGTCGTTACTTATGTCTTAGACTGTCGTCATTGGGTACACGAGTTCACTTCTCGTTATCTAGTTGCAGCAGCAGTCGAGGTGCTCATAGCTGGTGCTCAAAATCTCCCTGCAGGTCTCGGCGATTCGTTTACCCTTGCGCACTGTTTAGGAAGGTCATAGCCTCACATTTGGGAACATGCAGCGACTATCTGGAGTACGACTTTCTCCAACGCAATAAGATGCAACAGCACCTGCCCCGGACCACTTCTCAGCTGGTCTAGGTTGCTTCCCATCAGGCCTGTCCAGTTCTCCAAGCTGGTATGCAATAGACTACCTCTCTATCTCTCACAGTTATGTTAGATTGCTTCTTCAGTTTCCAATCTTGTCCATTAAGCCTGCTTTTCCGCTCAGTGACTGCTCGAGCATCCGCATTTTGATTTTGGGATTTATGCTGTTGATTTTGCGGGGGATTCAATGCTTTACCCCAGTGAAGTCACTGACATGATGATGCAGTTTCCTAAGCACCATGAATGAGGAGAAATGCTCCAATGTTTCATGGTTTGGATATGAAGCACAAGAGGGGCTTCTGCTTGTTTTAACACAGTGTCGTTGATAGAATTTTCTGACATAGATGAATTTCGGTAGTTTCGAAAGAAACGGCCACACAAATTTCCAGTGGTAAATGTGGGTTCCTATGTTTCGATGCAGGTGGAGGAGTTGGTAATGATTTGAATTGCAATGGATAGAAAGAAAGCGTTCATTTTATTGTGTCTGCAGCTCCTGTTATGGTGGACGACAACGGCGCGAAGCACCCCATCAGGACCTATAAAAACGATCGTGTTACTGGTTATGGAGAACCGCTCATTTGATCATTTCATGGGTCTCATGAAGAAGACGAACCCCTCGATCGATGGGCTCACTGGGATGGAAGATAACCCCACAAATCCAGGCGATCCAGGAGCTGCTAGAATTAGAGTCTCGGACATGGCTGAGTTGGTGGACCCTGACCCAGGGCACGAATTCGAGCAAGTTGCGGAGCAAATTTACGGATCCATGGAAAGGGTGAGTCTAACGACGCCAACCATGGACGGGTTCGTGGCACAAGCTGAGTCCGTAATGCCAGGTCTGTCGAAACGGGTGATGAGTGCTTTCCGACCCGAAGTCGTGCCCGTGACGACCGCATTGGCCATGAACTTCGCCATATTCGACCGATGGTTCTCGTCCGTGCCGAGTTCCACACAGCCCAATAGGTTCTTCGTCCACTCGACTACCTCAAACGGTCTTTTATCCAATGATAAGGGCACTCTTCTGAAGGGGATGCCGCAGCGGACTATTTACGAGGATGTTTACGAAGCGGGCCTATCCTTTGGCGTGTATTACCAGCAGATACCCGCCATGTTATTCTTCCGCAACATGAGAGCTTTGAAGTATGTGCAAAACTTCAACCCGTATGATCGATTCAAAACCGACGCCATGTCCGGGCGACTACCCAACCTTGTGGTAATTGAGCAGCGCTACTACGACGTCGCTGACACACCCGCGAACGACGACCATCCAACGCACGACATCTCCCAAGGCCAGAAGCTTATCAAAGAAGTGTACGAGATTCTGAGGGCTGGTCCGCAATGGAATGAAACGTTGTTTCTGATCACATATGACGAGCATGGTGGATTCTACGACCACGTCCCACCACCTGCCGTCGGCGTGCCGAGCCCAGATGGCGTCAGAGGCCCCGCGCCCCATTACTTCAACTTCGACAGGCTGGGAGTGCGCGTACCGACGATTGCCATTTCCCCGTGGATCGAGAAAGGCAAAGGTGAGTTGGAAAAAAGGTGCATGCAGTGTGACACTTCGGACTGGCGGATAGTCAGATGCCCGGGTAGTAGTCCAGAAGTGACTCGTGTGGCCATTTATGATACTTTTTCTGTTTTTTTTTCAAATGCATTTGGAACATGAGTAGCCTTGCCTACAGATATTCATGAACTTAACTAAATAATCTTCTCTAGAGTTCCCTGCAGTTGCATATGTGCCATCAGGGTTCGTTCATATCTGCTCTGATCGTGCCCAACCGCAACCTTTGTTAGAAGACCTGCTTTCTAATCTGCAGGCACAAGTCGACAGACACGAATGAATCCTCTTAAGTCTCGTTGAGATCAAGTCTTCCATCTCTCCGTCAGATTTCCTCCACTGGCGGTTGCGAATTTAACAACTTATCGTTTCTTTTCTTTTGTGGCAGTGGAACACCGAGCTCAAGGCCCGATGCCGTCGTCAGAGTATGAGCATTCCTCCATTGCTGCCACTATCAGGAAACTCTTTAATCTCCCGCAACCTCCCTTGACAGCACGGGAGGCGTGGGCAGGAAACTTTGCGCACCTCATCTCTCGCACAACACCTCGCACCGACACCCCAGGTCTGAACACCTCGACGTCACCCAGTTCCCCTTCACGATTCCAGCCATGAATATGCAACGCTCAGGGTTTATTTTACCAAGAAAGATTCCCACTCCACAGTGTCCATAGAACACATCAGCCCTGCGCAACTTGCTCTTGTATGGAACCAATCCGGAGACTATCTATCTAACGGGGGGTGGGAAGGGTGAATGGTTGGTTGTAGTGGAGCTGCCAAGTCCGCCATGGTCACTGAGACACTCTCCTACAGTAGAATCAAGGCCATTGTCCGAGTTCCAAGAGGAGCTAGTGGTGCTGGCGAAATCGTTGAGGCGAAAGTTAGGAGACTGGGCGACATCCGAGGCATCATCGAAGGCTGAGGAGGAGGCAAATCCGTCGGGGATGAGCGTCGGAGAGGCCAATTTCTACGTCCGCGACGCTGTCGGTAGCTTCATGCGCCGGGCACGCAGCCAACTGACCGCAGGCAGGCATCCGGACTCCGAAGCTGCCCCTTGAGCCCATGCCTCTCGGCCTGGTATTAGGCTTGGGGAGCACTATTGTATCATTCATGCTTTGTGTCATGAGATCTTTCTCTTTATTATTATTTTGTTTTACAATTTTGCACTTAACTGTAAAGTTATGATTATTCTAAGGTGGGATTTCGAAGATTGTCAATGTTCTTTCTGGAATTTTCTTGGAATTATGGATTTGCCTTTGTGTTGACAGTTTTTGGGGACTGAGAATTAATACTTTTTTGTATAGACAATGTGTGCTGTAAGTTATTGTTTATTTTATTCTATTTTCTTTTCTTTAATTCGATTTTTTTCTTGATTTTCATTGTATTGTGGAACAATTTAGAGTAATAAGGCTGCCCACCATAATGGTTTTTAATTTATTTTTTAAAATTATTAATTTTCATATCATATATATACAAGTAGTTGTAAAAATTAACAACATAGACTTATATCTAAGGTCAAATAAAATGTACGATTTTATTTCATTAAAGAGATACTTAAATCTCAAATTGACTTAATTTTTATATAATAACTTGTATATAATTTTATAGATGATGAATGATATTTTTTGTTTTTTTATTATTCTAAATTTCAATTGTAGAATGAAGATTTTTCCAATCTTGCTAAAAAAGCTAAGAAATTCCTTTCTAAAATAAAAAAAATTCATGTTTAAATCTTAAAATAAATACTTTTATTGATAATACAAGAATATCACAATGAATTATTAAACTATTATTACATCTAATCAACTTAAGTTCTATTTCTATTTTGATACTACTAGATAATTTTATCACTTCTAAGTGGTTTTTTTTATTTCTCATTTTATCTTTATATTACGTCTTTGATTCTTATAATGTGCACTTGATTATTATTTGGGAGATTTCAAAATAATTAAAATTATTCTCATTAAACATTTCATAAGTAAAGTCATTGTACACCTTAGGACATAATGCCATTAAGAGTTTTTGGTCTTTATCAAAAAAATAGAAATAAAAATATGGTTTTAAAATCTAATTGTTGATTCTTTCAATAATAAAGACGAATAATCTCATATGAAAATAAAAAAATAATTATATTTCTTGGAGTCAAGTTATATGTAGTCAACATTAAATATCTATTCTACCAGCTCTAAAGTAACAAGTTTTTTTTTTCTTCTTTGAACTTCATCCAACTTCTTTAAAATCCTTCAAATTTTTCTTTATAAATTTATTAAGCTCTTTTTATCTTCTTTAATTATTTACTTCCACTATGTCAAGGCATTCTTTTTTTATTTTTCTAAATTCTTCTTCAATCTTAAAAGAATTTTTTTATCTATATTAATAATTTTTTTTATATTTTATAATATCAATTGCAATATAAGTCTTGATTTTTGTCGTGAACTTTTTGTGAAGCTAATACTTAAGTAGTGTATATAGAATTGTTTTGTACATATATTCAATTTAAATATAAAATTTTCTTTTAAAATAAGAACTATAATTATATCTAAATGAACACAATATTTAAAATAAACTTGATTGTGAAAAAAAATACATTTCTTTTAATTTTTATGTATATGGTGTCTTGATTTTATTGTACAACTAATTAAATTACTAATTTGGTGTCTATATTTATTATTTTTATTAATCTTAACAATATTGTCAAAAAATAAGTTTAAAAAGACAACCATTGAGGTTCTTAAAGTCAAATTTATAGTAGAGTTCTATGGACAATTTAGAATAGTTTGTACTATGTATTGCCAGTAGATTAAATTAAAAAAAAAAAAAAAAAAAAAAAAAAAAACATGACTGAAGTGAGCACTTCTATATATTTTTTATTTTAAGAATATTTATATTAATAGATATCTAAATAATAATAAATATTTTTTATTTTTAATTTGATTTAATAGTATAATTTACATAAATAAATTAATTTGAATTTTATATTTATATAATTTTGCTAAATAGATTAGAAGAATGGATTTTAAGCTTTAAAAAATTAACTCCAACAATATCATTACATCTATCTCTTTGGCACTTAGACCATTCTTAAGCAAATATTGCAAAAAATAAAGTAAATCCTTAGACTAAATAGTTTTGTCTCTATTGTGGTCTATTGGATGGAATGCCTCCTTTAATTGTAATTCTTGCTGTACAATTGTTTTTGGTTCTCAGTGACTTTGTAACTATATTTCTTAATGTGTATTATTCTTTGCAATTCTACGGTAACATAGCTTTTCTAATGAATTTCTACACATCTCTTTCACCTACAAATCATATGAAAATGATGTTTGATATTTTACTCATAATGTGGTCTTTTCTTTAAAGCATTTAAAGTCTTTGCAAATAAAACATTACATTCTTGCCACACAATAAAAAATCTACTACACAATTGCGGCAACCCAATTGAAGTTCAAGGCATATAAGTAATCTAATGCTCTTTGAGACCTGAATCAAATGAATTTGAAATTGAGTATTAGCCACTTAGATTGATTTAGTGATGCTTGTAGCACAAGGTGATAGTTACATTGAAACCCGTACTAAGACAAAAGAGAGAAGGAGAGAGATCAAGACTTGCATTGGAGCAAGGAAAAGAAGGTCGAGATTGAGTCTTATGTTATAATAAAGAAGAGAAGTGCAACTTGCATTGGAGCAAGGAAGAAAGGGAAGAGGTCTAGGACCCACACCAAGACAAGGAAGAGAAGGAAGGAGACTGGAATCCATACCAAAATAGGAAAAAAAGAATCTTGATGAGCCAATCAAAAGCCTTAAGTATGCATATAAATATAATGGGTGTGCATGTAGCAACTTAGAATGTGCTTGTAGCTTGAGTCAAAAAAATAATTATAACTATGTATCAACAATATAATTTATTTGTTGATGCTAAAAATCTTATAAATACAAGTTATATGTATATTACATGCAATAATTCATTAAATTTCAATAAATAATAATGGTAATGGATTTCAATAAATTTTTGATTTATGGATGCAAATTGTAATTTGAAATTATGCAAAAAATAAAAGATTATTTACTTTGATATTAACAATATAAAATTTGGAAAAAAATCTTTTTAGTAAAAAATTATTGTATTAAAAACCACCAAGGAGAAAGAAGCAAAGGTCAATAAAGACAATAATTCTATATTGTAAAGTATTTCTTGATTTTATACAATGGCTATCTAATTTATAAGATATTAAGCTTAAAAAATATTTAATATAATTAATATGAATTTAGAAAAAAATAGTAATTAAAAATATTAATTATTATATTTTTATTTATTTTTAGATATATTAAAAAAATCTAAATATATTGAGTCTCATTAAGCTTGTATAAGTATTGATAATTTTAAAAAATTAAGTATTATATATTTGTGATTTTTGTAGATTTGGAGGATGAAAAATTAAAAAACATTATAACAATGTAATATTTGATTGTAGATTTGGAAGATTTGGAAGATAGATCTTCTTGATTTGGAAGATAAAAATGAATAAAAAGATACTTTAGAAAAAGATATACTTGTATTTGAAAATTATTGGTCTAGATATTTACAAATTTAGAATAGAAAAAAATAAAAGATGCTCAAAGATTAATAGATAATATACAAAACAACATCCAATGGTAAACTTGTTGTTTCTTTAATTTTGAATGGAATAAGTATGGATGTCTTTGCAAGTTCTTCTTAACAAGATTATTAATTTAGAATCTATTATTCAGTGGTATAATAATTTTTATTCTTCAAGGTGTTTTATTTTTTATTGTTCTTATATATCACATTTTTTTATGTAATGCACTAATATATAATTTTAATGTTATTGTGTGTAATTATAAATGATGGTTAAGATTAATGTATGTTTACATTTTTCTTTGAGATTTAAAAAAAATACATTGTATGGTTATAAATATTTAGATATAAATTAAAATTTTATTCTCTATTACTTAATTTTTTTTTAGACATTATTATGTGTATAGTGTGATTATTTTTTATTTTTTATTTTAAATATGGTACATTTTTATCTATTATAATTTTTGGATTATGGCCAAGTTTTTATAATGTTATAAATAAATATGATTTTTTTAGTATTTGTTTTAATTTTTAAGTATTTTATTGATAAAATCAGATATTAAATTTATTATATGTACATATCAAAAAAATTTATAGAATTATATATGAGAATTATAAATAAGAAGATTTCTATGCTAATTAAAAATTAATCTTGTCTTAAATATAAACATAGCTTATGTCCAAATCTAAAATTATTTAGCTTCTATTAATACTATATTTTTTTATTTTTTTGTTAAAATAGTTATTGCTTTATTTTTCAAAATTCTACAACAAAATTTTTAATTTGCCTTCATTTTAGTAACCTAAGAGAAGCACACAATCTTTAACAATATTTGAGTGAATCATCATAATGCTATATAAGATGCAATGTGCATACATTAATCTAAGAAAAAATTTCACTTCTTAATTTATAATTGGTTTTTTTAAAAATACACCATATTTTCTTTAATTTTCAAGTTTCAAATTCAAAAACCATACAAGTAATGTTCTCTTTGTGATTAAAAACTTAATATAAAAATATCAATCTTTTTCTTAAAAAAATAAGAAAGCATCCATTCTAATACTGAATGGTAAGTATTAATAACAATTTCGATAGAATAGTAAATCCTTGTATTACTTTGTAAGAACTATGTGATTATTGCTCGAAGTCTATAGCTTGCTAAAATTTAAAATTCTCAAACATATGTTGATCATAAACCATCTTTACAAAAGATTGCAAAAACATCCAAAAATCATATGTTGTTATTAGAAATTACTTGTAATACAAAGTTATAATCATAGTCTTTGTTGTAATTACTCTTATTCTATTTACTTTTGAGAAATTCAATTAACAAACATATATAATTTAATGTTTTATAAACCGAAGATATATCATAATATTTTTCAAAACCAACTTTGATATTTTCAATTCTATAATGGTAGGATGCTTAATGAAAGTTAAGATATGTAGTTGAAGTATTTGCTTGAATCTTTGTATAATACAAGTGGCTATTTCTTTATTTATTTTAAGAATTTCACACATTGACATTATAAAAGTATTTATTTCTAATTATAAAAGAAAAACCAATAATGTTTTGTGAATCTAATAGAAGATGTTATTTTTATTGTGAACCTAGAAATTTGTACAAATAGTAGAAGATTAGTACTTAAACTTTAAATACTTAGTAGAACTTCTACAAAACATCAACAAATATAACTCCACCACATTGGTTCTACTTATAGATTAAATGCAATTTGGTATATCATATCTTTTATTTTACATCTAAAATATTTCTTTTTTCATAGTTTGCTATGATGCCATACTTTTGCAACATCTTTAATATTCCACAATTACATTTTAGCTCAAGAAAGTTATGAAATCTAATAATTAATATTCTTTTTCTTTAGAATCTACAAAGTATATATCTTAGACTATCAAGCAATAGATAGAAAATTTGAGTATCAACTATTCTATTCATAGCTTTAAAAATTGCAACACCAATAATAAATTGAATAAAAATAGAATCTAAGTATAAAACAATCTACTAAAAATTATTCTTTTAAAATATACTTATATATAAAGAATTAAAAAATTAATTTAAAAGAAGTTTAGTTCTTATTGTAAGAAAATATTTTTATAAATTAGAATTTATTAAATACTAAATTAGTTTTTAATCACTCTTTCTTCATAATTTTAGAAACTTGAAATTAAATCAAATACTTGTTATTTGATCTTTTGAGATAACAAGTAAGCAAAAGGCAAAACTTTGTAAAATATCTAGAACTAGTAGCATACACATTAGTTTAGTAATAAATTTTTTTTATTGCACACACTTCAAAAATACATGGTCTTCAGCCTACCACTACATTATCTTAAGTTTGATTGTATCTGCTACTATTCTACTCTTTGCACTAGTTTACAACTACCTAATACAGTGACTATTCAAGCTTTAAGTAGTCTATCTTCTTGGCCTAAGCTCAAGATATGCCTCTATTTTTAGTGGTGGCACTATAAATGTTTGTTTTATCTACTTCTTGCTGTTGCTCTCAAATTTTCAACTAACCACGTGCCATTAGACTTATTTGCTATGGTAGGTAACAACACTATTAAAAGCATATTACATTACTTATAAGTTCTAATTTACTTCTAAGATCTTCCAATGATGATATTATCAACCATTTTTTCCTTTGCATTACATTGCAACCTCAAATAATACCATGACACTTATAAAAGTGCAAAAGAAAGTCTTCATGGTAAAGCCTTTATCATATAATCTCCATGTTAAGCTAAAAAAAATCCATGTGTAAATTTTTGTAATCTAAAAATATTTAATGATAAATTAATTAATATACTTTTAATAAAAATTAAAAATACAATCTATCTATACTAATTTTGATATTTTTTTTTATACATATATTTATGCTTCTTTAAAACTTCAAAGATCATAATATTGAACTTATTTGCATTTACATTAGAAGAATGTTAATAAAATAGAATTCACACCAAGTCAACTTTATTTATATAAAATATATTAAATTTTAGTACGTATAGAGGATTATTAATACTTTAAAGCAACAAAACATAGATAAATCATTTTATATAAACAACTTTTAACTGCACTATAGTATTAAAAAAATATTCTTTTAAATTAATGAATTATATTAGTATAACAAAAATTATAGATATTACAATAATCATGTGATAATATATATATATATATGGATAATTATTGACAAAACATATAAATGAAAATTTGATACTAAATAAAATCTTTCAAATTTTTGTGATTTATTTGAATATAAGTATGTTTATATTATTAATTGCCTATTACAAAAAAAAATTGAAGATAAATACATAAATTTGCTTGTAGATACATTCAATAAGTTTTAAATGAAATCTAATTATTCATTAAATCATCAATGTGTTTTCGAAGTGTACATGCAAAAAAGAGAATCGAAATTAATTTATAGACTAAAAAGTTGCAAATAGTTAAACACCACAAGATGGATATTATACAATTTAAGATATCTACTAAGATAAATATATATACATATATGTTTAGTAGGTAGGCAGCAAGAGTGTGAAAGAATATAGAATGAATTTTGGATTTAGGTCTTAACAACACAACAATATTTTCAAGGTTTTTGCAAAGTAGAATTTTTTCTTTTTAGATGTATTTAGAGATTGGTCATTAACTGAACTTTTAATGGTTAATAGGAGTAAATTGTTCTCAAGTCATCCCTGTATTTCTTTGATATCTTTTTAAGATTACCAGGTTATGCTGAGGAGATACTAATCAGGAGAATTAAAACAAAAATAGACAAAGAAAAATGAAAAATGAAAAAAAAAGAAAAAAAAAAACTCTTGAGGTAGACAAAACAGATGTATTGGTAACATTTTCTAAAAAGAGGTAATCAAACGTAGTTGAATACTATTTTTGATTAATTTTTAAGAATTTTGCTACCTAAGATTCTTTCAAAAATCAAATTGAGGACCATTTTGTGGATTTAGGACTTTGGCTGGGGCCTTTTTTACTGCACACGAGTCAACGTTGAATCATTAAATTGTCATGAATTTATGTCGTAAGAATGTTGGATGTTGGATATTGGATCTAAACAAAAATGTCTCCAGTTAAGATTTATTTCTTTGATTCGGACCGAGTACTTAGAATACGCCAGAGCTAGATTAGTTTATGTGTGACTTGGTAAAAATAGACTTAGAGGTTTAAATTTTTTTAGAAGGTACAGTTTCGGCAAAAATCACTCTTGGAATGTCTTGAAGGTACAAACCTGCAAGGTAAACCTTCAGTGATTTGTTTGCCCGACATTTCTTGGTGGAGTCGAATTTGCGCGAGACCTGAGAGGCAGTGTGCTAGTTCACGAAATTAAATTTTACATTGTAACTGCCTGCAAATCATGTCAACCAATCAAATGATCCAGACGTCCAGACCACCTGTCGAAGATTTCTCCTATTACCGTACTTGAGCCAAGTGTAAATACCATACTAGGGAAAAATAAATCAAACTGGTGTTCGAATGCACGATGAATCAAGAGGAGAATACTCACACAAACTTTTGTTGTTACCATATTGTGATAAAAAAACCGAAAAATTAAACATAAAAAAGGAGATTCAAAGCAACTCTTCTACTGTGGAAGAACAGCTTTTAATCAAATCCAACGTCATGTTGGCAGATACGAGGCATTCGCTACAGTAGAGCAAAGTGGCAGACCTTCCAATTGTTGATCAGTTTATATCCAAGCATTGCCGAATGTGAAATACGTCAGTAATTTCTGTCCGCTTCGCAACTCATAAATTCTCTGCAAGATCAAAACAAAGGTCTGTCATTCATTTCATAACAACTTCGACTTGGAATATACCTGCTGCTGTCATATTCACCTTCGCTTTGTAGAATATTTGCACGGATGTTAGAACTAATGAAGTATCAACGATATATCAACAGAGTACGTTTGTCACTTTTATATACGCTTGAGTCCGAATATGGCAAAAAAATTCACCAGATTCATCGAAAGAACAGTTCAAGTCCTCTCATAACCATGTACATAGCCAGCTCCAAGTTTAAGTTGGCAGTCTCAAACAGATAGAATGTGCCAACACGGCTACACAATTTTTAGGCAAATAATGACAATACAAAATTTGAAGCAGTAGGTATAACATACCAAAACCCAGCCTCCAGTTTGTAGAGCATGCCAACTTCTTAAGCCCCATTACAGGCATCGCTCGACATGACTCGTACCTTTCTTTTTTCATTGTGCTTTTGAAAGCGATGCCCTGGGCTTTCGCGTCCTGGGCGAAAAGCTTTAACAATTGTTGCCGAATGGTGGTCCTTAGGCTGGACGCTTCGGTAGGTAAAAACCAACGCCGACCGAACTGAAAAAATAAATAAAGTTTTCAATAAAACAATCAAGTAAACCATGCTTCATTTAAACTAAAATCTAGTGTCCAGGGATATTGATCGGATTTTGAATACAAGAATATTCTGTGAAATCACAACTCATTTTGTGAACAAGGAGATGATACAAAAAACATGAGATAGACACGACGACCTCACATGAAGCAGTAGACAAGTAGTTCAGAAGGAAACACACAAAATGTCCAAGACACACGCAAACTAATGACTGCAAATAGGCAGGGTTGCGACCTAGTAGGATCCAAGAATGGTATCTAGAACTACAAACAAAACGGCAGTTTGACGAAAATAGTGTCGATGACAACTCACCAACCCTATACTCTCTAATCTGTTCTCCACGTCGCTGATCTTCAATGTTCCAGGAGCTCTTTCCACAAATTTTTGTATGTAATACAGAAGGAAAAGGCCACAATCTGACCCATTTTCCTGTAGTGGAACCTGTCATACCATTTGACTTAGACAGTTTTTAATCACCGCATACAAGACATTTTAATTCAATCAGAGCTTGCAACCACCTCTTCACCCCAATACAAATACCTTTCCAAGAACAACTGATTGCGACAAAAACTAGAAGAAATGAAAAGCAAACACATAAGTTGTTTGAGGCGCAAATAAGCCCAAAATGCACCATATCGATTTGTTACAATCACATACCGGAACTTTCCTCGTTGGTATCATATGACGTGACAATTTATTCCCACCCCTTTCACCACCCTTGGCAAACGTATATTTCCACTCTGCTACAAGATACCTGACAGCAACAACAGCAAATCATCGCATCTTCATAAGGCTGAGCTCAGCCATATCATAAGGAATGACTTGATGACTTAACAACTTGATCAAATATCAGGATATTTCTGAATATGGATATCTACGACCAGGGAAACTTCTTATCGTGTTTTAGTAGAGAACGAAAATTCATGTAATGCCCTCACCTATTTTGTCAATTCTAGATTCTGATTCGAAAAAAGAAATTTTGTGTAGTGAGTGAATCCTGTACTTGTCGAAATAGTGCAATTTTCACATGAAATATTGCACCATGGTTCACTCTTTCTAATAAATGTCTACATAAATAGTATCTAAGTTTACACCTGCCGAAGGAAATTAATGTCCCTTGAATCTAACCTGTGAAGCAAACGGAATACTGTGGAGCTGTCATGTCCACAGTTCATAGAATCAAGATGCAAAATGCAGCGTTCAGAGCCGCTTGCACTGCCAGGTCCATGGTTGGGAAAGCAAATGATTGCTAAACTCCAATGCAATCTGTGTTTCAAGAAAGATTACTTGAAAATTGTCAAATAACAGAAAGTAAAACATCAAATTCGTCAGAATCTGTAGCAGCGCTACGCAAGACTTACAATGACAATCCTGAGAACACATCATAAACTTGCATAATATATTAACACTCGATGGAACTCTAAACATGTTCTACTGAACAGCAATGCTGGGAAACTTTTAACTCACTTGGAATGCACTGGGACAAAGAGGTAATCTTTTTCAAAAATGTTAATGCCTTTTGTCCACTTCCGTAACTTAGAGAAGTTGTCAGTTTTCTCCCTCTGTTGAGAAAGTGGAATAGACTACTAGTGTAAGAATTCAGGGGCAAACTTGAAACCAAACACTTACAGATAACCCCAACACCCAATCAACAAGATCTGAACCGCTATTGCAAGAAAACTTGAAGGCTACAAAACGAGAACTTACAAAGCTCAGACAAACACATCGTAAAGAAACTTAATGCGTTCACACAACATACCTTCTTGCCAACTACACCACACAATTTTTTATAAAAGAAACTATTGAAGAAGTGAAAACGTCGACTTCGTTCCAGACTCAGAAACTCCCTTTGGATGTACCTGTGCGAAACACTAAAATCAACGAAATATCCTTGAAATAGTGACCTTACATGGCCAATTAGACCTGAAGTAAATATAGGATAAATCTTGGTTATCTCTATTGAGGTGGTCTTGTTTGACCCCTCATTGCGAGACCTAATATGACAGCAGAGGATTATGACAAAAATTTCCAACTAGTGATACCATTCAGGTTCACATTTCTATGGTCGTACTTGATGTAAAAATCAATGATAGTGTCATTCAGAAACTCCAACGGATTTAGTAGTTGAACGTCCGAAGCCAGAATTTCTACTGCCTCTGGATCCGTCCTGCATCACGACGTATTACATAATCAGCCCTGTGAGACTACACTATGTCCATCGACATAGACATGCGCAAAGAATGCAGCAAAGGCAATGGCACGCAGATCCCGTCCTGGTTTTAATCAAAGATGAAACTTCTGATAATCGCATAAAGCACGAAATCTCGGAGAGTCAGAATGAACAAGTCGACCTTGATGGGTAAGCGATCTTGAATCTCTCCAATCTGCAAAACATACGGAGATTAGACCAGTTAAACTGAACGAAATTGTCATGTATGGAATCGTTACGCTTTAAACCTGTAGTTTTTTAAGTGCAGAATGGACTAATTTCCCAACTAGTGTTCAACAAAAGGTGACAGGATTGTGTTAACCAATCTTAATATAGTAATTATTCGACACCAACACTTGGTTCTGATGTGTTGAACATAACATGATGATTTAATGAAATAGATGGAAGCAAAAGAAGTGAGGGGACTAGAAAAGACTAAATGAAGCATTATTTGTGATTAATAATATGAGACACCTTTTCCCTGCGCTCTGCAACCTTGGTTGGCAACGCTGTTCACATGGGTTAATTGTGGAACCAGTGTCATGTGCTGCTATCTCCTCTTCATCAGAAGAATCAATCTCAATAGCTGTACACTGGTAAGAACAAAATAACTGGATGAGGCAGTCCAGATGTACTAATACTCATAATTCCATAATTAAAGATAAATAAAACCTAACTACGAAGAAGATATGTGTTGAAATGAAGCATACGTAAAAGCTGGGCGTCCAGGAACAATTCTCCAAATCCTTCAAACTTTCATTCAGGTGAGCAAGAGATATCTTACAGGTGTTCTTCCGATAATATCACTCTCATATTTGACACTCCGCTGCATCTGACGATTATCATGTGATTGTGTATCGTGAGTCTGCAAAAGATCGAAAGCAAGCAGGAGATATATCAAGAATCCGTCTGTTCCACAGTGCAAGGTAAGCTTCACCACTAGAAGAGCAAATACCGCACAACAATTTTCACGCCCTAATTGTGGAGTCTGATAAGAACAATCCCACACACCTGAAAGTTTGTGTACAAAGAACGGGCGGCATCCACAGGTTTCAACTTCTCCCTGCACTCACAGAATGAAGCGAATTATTGCTGCATTTATTATTCGATAGAAAATTTTCCGTCTCCAATTGTTGATACATATTTGTAATCAAATCGGTATATATACATGCAACGACTTCAAGCCCACATACACCTCATTCAGGACAACCGTTACACCAACACACATAGCCTAGTATAAAAACAGAAAAGTCGTGAAGTCAGTTCGACAGGGTACATGGGAAGCTGATTCATTGCAGAGACATAATTATATTATTTAGACCATTATGAACCCACTGATAACAGAAACACAAGAAAAGACTACATTCAGGAATTCTGGACGAGTTGAAATACTGCAGGTTACATACCGTCTTCTGTAAAGCTCAAAGTAGTCAGCACTACTTTGCTCAACAGACTTGTCGTCAGATGCTCTTAATTGCTCTGTCAATGACGCAGGGCTCTTGCTTGAAAGTCTTCTTGACAAATTTGATGTGTTAATCTCTTTGAAACTCTCAAAGGCCTCACTGTCCTGATTCAGCTTCGGTTCATCGTTTGTTGTAGTGGCGGCGCTGTTTGAAGAGATTCTCTCAAAGGTAGAGTTTTCCTCCTTATCATTCAAATTTGCAGTCGAATAAGATGATCACAATGTCCTCATTAATATTAATTTATCACGATACTAACAACAGCTTTCAACTACTTTAAACTTTCACTTGAGAAAACTCAGAAATCACCATGACGACAACCTACATTTAATCATGATTATACCTTCATTATGGATAAGATAATGCATCCCTCGAGAATGTTCCTTTGTTGTAAGAACCCGCCTCCCAGGAAGCTCGACCAAGGGGTGGGCCCGTTAAAACAAGGATGCCCTCGAGGGAATACAATGCCCCGCGTAAAGGACGAGGGCGTAACAGTGCGGTGAAATTTTAAAGGCTGTGCAATGCAAACGTCCGAACTCTATTCCACAATAAACCTCCGACTTGAAGTGGAAAAACCCCCTAAGTACTTTACGATTTGCGAAATACATTACCAATTTAATGCTATTTACTAAAATACACTGTGCCGATGTAATCCTAAAATATGTGACTCTGAATTTGAAACTTCAAATTATGATTGCCAATTTAACAATTAAAACTAATGCAAATGAATACAAACACCAACATGTCGTTCAGAATACTACCAACAACTACCACACGATCACAAGGAGAAGGTAAAGCAATAGATAAACCTCTCAGCTACCTTGTCAAGGAAGGAAATGTTCGTCCTCCGGCAGAAATTGTTCTGTCGTTTTGATAGTGTTTTGAATCTGTGCTGCTGTTCGTGGAAACTATTTGTGAAGAAAAATCTCGACGATTGCTTGCGAAACCAAAACATACTGACCTGCTCTGCCGCCAACAACCAGAAATTACCAAAAACCGTTAAATCCGAAGAAATGAGATGCAAATGTCGGTATATAAGATCATAAAGTTGCAATGCGGACTATTCGCACTAACAAACTGCCAATAACACACAAACACTACGACTCTTCAATGCAGCCATAATACTGGCTGGCATTCATGGCATATCTGGCGAAACAATGTTTAATGTCATCAACTCAAGTTTCATTACTTGAGGTTACACTTGGTTAAAGTCTACAAGATGTAACCCACATGATAACGTGAAAAAAATGTGTACGCGGGTGCCACAGCTGAAATCAACAAAAATTCTATGGACTTGGACAGCACTTCATATGCCATATGGAATTTATCTATGGACTACTATCATCGCAATGTGATCATGAAGTTTACCTTCTGACGTCGACGATGTCGCGTCGCTGACTCCCACTTCCCACACTTCTTTGAACAATCATTGTCTTTATCTTCTTCATTCTTGTAATGCGTCGTTTTCGAGTTACGTGGTACATTTGTATCCTTCGAAGAATTTCCATCAATAAATTCTAGGAATTTTCTACGTTTCACCTCAGGCATCACTCCAACATTATCCTGGAGGTCATTCGGACTGAAAGAACGCGTCCTCTTGCGACGCGCCATATTCTAATTGGGGAGCTACAACTGGATTTTTGAGTAAGAACTGAATCTTCAAGAAATCGCATCTGAACACACTTCAAGTAAGCTGACTGACTGCAACCTGCACTGTGACAAACAGAACTCATATGTGAATTAATGTGTGTGTTCAATCGGTGAAAGATCTTGATCTATAAGAATTCCGCATAAACTTCATCCAAGAGCGGTGCAGGTCGTTTGAGTTCGGAACAGAGCTAAGCATGCGAAAATAGGTAGTTGATGAAAAGGCCCCAGGTAAAGAATGCAAACCCACATCACTCAATACTACAGAAAACAGTAAAATCAAGTGATACTCAATCGAAAACAAAACTCCCTAGATTGAAGCAGCACGTACCCGAAGAAATCGAGCATTCCGGAACACGAACCACGTATAAACCCTGGCAGTAGCAAACAGTCTGAAACTGAGAACACGAGGAAAGGAACCAGCTACCACATCACAACAAGCTTTTAAATTTTTGTAAAATCAAACACCGAAGTCCTCTTCCCCTGTTGCTGCTCCGAAAATCCTCCGAGCTGCGTGAGCTCTCGGTTTCCCCACTCTCCGCCATCCTAACATTCTTCGCCATCCTAGCATTCCATGGCTCGGCATCCAAAATCGCACACAACCAGGGAAAGCGTAAGGGAGTTGAACAAACCGTGTCACAACAGACGGCGTTGGCGATTAGGGTTTAAGGAAGAGAGGTGAAGAAGTCTGTCTAGCAGATGGTAAAAATGATAAAGGCAACTTTTCCCATCTCCGTGACTCTTGGCCCACAATCTCTACGCTCCACAATCACGCCGTAGCTCTCCATCTCCATGAGTCCAGTTCATTCCAACGGATGTTTGTTTTCCATGAATGCAGAGAGCAACACTACTGCCAACTCTGTCGACTAAACCTCAAAGCATTTTGTATGTAAGTTTGGAACAAGGCCAATCGCCCTTTTCCATCCACGGAGTAAAACCGCACTGAGTATTACAACATGTAAATGACCGAGTGGTTATTCAAACCATTTTCAAGTATAAATCTCGTACCTCTTTGATTTCGTACAACGTAATTTCAGTCAGGTTCTCACTGTGGAAAAATGTTGTAATAATACGGGTTGAGTTTTGCATTTAAGACCAACAGAAACACTTGCGCGAGGGTTGTTTGTTAAATCCTACTTTTGTGAATGTCATGCTGTTGCACTGAGGAGGGCACACGTCAGTTCACTTACAAATGCTATTCTCACGTGAAATCTACGTTTGCATATGACAACTGGAAAGTGCCGAGTGCAATTAGTGAAGAATGAACAGCATTCTAGCATAATCAGTCTCTTTTTGCGGGGCGCACAGAAATTGGTTCCCTAAGGAAGTTGCAGTGGTGGTCAATCTCTTTTCATGGCCTGTATGTTCGGCAATCTACTGAGAAATTCCAAAATTCGTATTGAAGGATGCCAGCAGGAGTTTCTTTTTCTTTTTCTTTTTCTTTCTGTCTTACTTTCTTTCCTCTCCTTCCGTTTGCTTTCAGAATCACGTTTATCGGTTGAATTCAGTGTCTCTCCAAATCCAAAAAGGAGGGGTATGGGACAGGAAAGTATTGGAGAATATACCGTAGAGGGAGTGGGGCCGGCATTCGAGAAGCGCAGAGGAAGGTAGGGCCAGTTCAACGAGAAGGGGGAGAAAGGACAGAATTGAAGAAGCCAGGACTCAAGGGGGAGCGTAGAGAGCACCTGTTGCAAAGTAAAGTACGATCATTCATTACCAGGACGTGGTTACGCACTTCGAGATGATACCCCCCCTCCTCCCACTTCAATTGCACTATTCTTAAATTGTTTGATTGCAATTCTCCTCGCATTGCCACTCTGCCTCTGCCACTGCTGCAACTCTCCCCCCCGCTTGCGCCAAAGGTAAAGCCAAACCTCATCGGGGCTTGATCACAGCGTGGCTCCATCGCGACACCAGACTAGCGTGGCTCATTAGTGTGTGTGTCTCACACCCACATTGTTGTGTGTGATTCAATGCTCTAGATGAACACAAAACGCCGGAAATGTCTACTCCAGTTGTACATGTTAGGTGCGGAAGAGCTTTTGAGTTACAATCAACGATACGATGTGGAAACCCACCATTGTCGCATTTGGAGCAAATGCGTGCATGCTTGCGTGTCGATCAGTTACCTCGCACACAACCCACCCAATTCAGTTTAAACCGTAGGTTGATTTTACGACATTAACAAGTTCTGATACAAGCCTGAAAGTACTGTAAGGGAAGTATTATGCATTGTTTGCAGTTGCAATTTCATTAGAAGAGGAAGTATGGACTTTACGCAAAGCTGCCTGCTGGCGCGCTCTTGCATGGAAGAGCACGCGGACGGCGTAGAACAGTGTAGAAGTCGATCCCCCGGCCAATGTCGGACCATTGTCACACTGTTAAGCGTTGGAATGCAATAATGAGATTTCAACGAGTCCCCAGATGAAGACTTTGCCAGGGATTGCCGTACCCCCCCCCCCCTCCTCCACCGAGGGAATGGTTGAACCACTCTCACGCTGTGAGCTCTTAGTGAACCAATCTGCGATTGACTGCATTCAGTGAAAATCTACGAGACGGCGACTGATTGTTCTGCTCAAGATGAATGCAACAAATGCTGTAAGGGACAATGCATGTTGATAAGCTGCTTCATCACCTGAAAGAATACAGAAGGACGCAGACGGCGGACGCAAGTTGCTCGTGGTGGCAAGAATCCTAGCATGCGACAGAAAACCGTCCAAGATCGACAAGTTACAACAAATGCTTTTCATTATAAATACGATCTAATGCATGCGTCGTTCATCCACAACGTATCACTTAGAAATTTTGTTGCACAAAAACGTGTCCAGAACACCTCTTCTATGAAACCGAAAACTCTAAAAATGCAAGTAAAAATCTCTCGTTGTACCCAGCATATCGCGGCCACAGGCCATCTTTCCAGGCGTCCTCTCTGACTGGCACAGAATCTCCAAAATACTTTCAGAATATTTGATTCTCTAGAGCCTGTTTCCAAACATATTTCTGAGTGTCATAGAGGTCTTCCTATCAACGTGAAGGATTCGGGTTTATACCAATTACTGCATCATGGCTCAGCAAGTGGTCAAGGACTTGTCACAGCTAGAATTGAGCTGTAGTCTGCAGCAACTAATCTGAAATAAGCCGAACATGTAGAGTGTCATGCTTCCAAACTACGATGGTTACAGTGAAACAATAAGATGTTGTGTAGACGAAATAACCTGGAAGAGTGGAGTACCTACAAGTACAGTAATATGTATTGAAATACTCCCCAGAAATCTTTGTTAATTCATGCCAGGTCTTGAACTGATCCGGAGCAAAACAGTTCTGAATAGATATAAAACACAAGACATGCACCGACAAAAGACACAGCATGCTTCACATTCCCAATGCGGATGCAGGGCACTTGTAAACATCAACGTGTCCCTTCCATACGTTCTGATGTGATATCATTTGACAGCGGAAGATGGCGCGCAGCAAAAACAATAGCATCTAAAACGAGCCACATTCCCAGGATTAGAGGCCGTCACATTGTAGAAATAAGATTTTATTATCATGTGTAATGTAACACACAGATGTCCAGAGTACAATTGGCAACTAAGCGAAATCCGCATCTAGCCTAACACTGATAAAAACACAATGATTCCAACCTATACCTCATCGGTGGCATGTCACGGCACCAACAAGACCACATTCAATCAGCTCACGCCTGGAAGGTTAATCACATCCCCTGACGGCCTCGGAATGAAAACATGGTACAGGCTACATCTTGTGAAAACATGGATTGCTGAGAATGCTGCATCCATCTAGACACAATCCGCAGCCCAATGGTGACAGTAGCGAGGATACCAGCCAAGAGGAAGCTCCCACTTCCAGGCGGTAACAAAACGATCCTCCCGCTAAAAACCAGCGGCTGCACAACTTACGAAAACAGGAGCTACTGGATCTAGGAGCTACACATAATACAGGCATGGAGCTAGAAGCTCGGTTCAAAATCTTGGGAGCCAGGGACAAATGGGAGCATGAATTTCACATGTCCAATCCCTCAACCCGCCTCGAAACCAAGAATCTTGAGGTTTACATGCCATGATGATCTTCGAGTACGGCATCTTTTTCAGACAATCACCTGACCGGTGGTTGCATCAACAAACTCCTTCCATTTCTCACACTTCACTTCCGAAATGGAGTCTTTGTTGTTGTAAAGGTCCCAGACCTTGTGTTGAAGGAAGCGAACATACTCAAATGTCTGGCTGAGCATGTGCACAGTGTCCAAGCGCTCTCCATTCGGCACAAGACTCTGCAGAATACGAATGCGGTCAGTGAACTTCTCCCTGCGAGTGCGAGCAGCAATGCTCTGAGGATCAGTCGCAGTGCCGTGACGGCGTCGCTGCTTCGGGGCTGGAGGAGACGCAAAATTGGAGCGAAAGTCCTGATCAGCTGGAGAGTTGCTGTATAACAGCGCGCTCAGCGCAGCAGCATCAAATTTGTCTGTGTTTGCACCTCCTTGGCCTAGAGACGGAAGAGAAAGAGAAGTTTCTTTGCCACCCGACGCAGAGGATCCACCGTATGCAGTGCCAGCGGCACATGTACCCAGCATGGCGGAGAAAGAACGTTTGTTGCTGTTCGCACCGATGAGTTCTGCCAACTTCTTCTGAATCTCGTCCGCCTTCAACACCGAACTGATGTTCCCAACTGGACTTGTACCCTGAAGAGTCGACGACGCGAACAAATGCTGGTCCAAGGGCGTTGTTGGGGAACTCGGCGAAGAACCGGCAAGACTGGTGGGTGACGTGATGTTATGCTGCTTGATATAATCGAGGGATCCACTTCCAGAGGTATGTTGAGAACTCGACCATGGCTGGTGCGACCAGCAGAGACGTCCAGGGTGATCGGGTGAACCGTTGAAGACAGCCTGTGAAGAGAGCTTCGGCGGAATCGAGAGCTGGCTAGGCCTTGTACTTAGGTTAACACTGTTGCCAATCATGGGGTTCTCAGAGTCATCAACGCCTCCAACGAGAAAAGATTGGCAAAAGTCTGGCGCTGGGGCTGCGTGAGCCATCGTTGATAGCGATGCCGCCAACTCAGAACCTCTTCTAAAGTAATTGTAAGGACCGGTGTCCCCGGTGGAATGTCCATGATGAGTGGACACCAAGGAGCCCAATTGTCCGTCGGAGAACGAGAGCCCGCATGCACCGGTATCTGAAATTTCGTCTGGCATTGCTTCCAATCGAAAATCTGGAAGGACCGCGTCTATTGCCTCCTGTGGACTCCAGAAGTCGTCCACGCAATTGACGATTGCGTCCTGACTGCCGTAGCTCAGACTGTCATTGCTCTGAGAGTCGGACAGCTGGGGTTGAACCTTCGACTCAGGGTAAGCACCCACTGTAAGCTGGTCACGATTACGGAGCATCATATCAGAGGAGTCCCTACTGCCTAAGTCGGAGGGGTGCGCCGGAAAGACCGTTTCCGGTGATCCGACGCCAAAACTTGGAGTACTGCATGAGCCAGTGTTGTTAATTGACTCAAAAGACGGATTGCGGGCAAGCCCTGGGGCCAAGGAGTTAACCCCGGCGCGCCCAGGTGCGAGCGTGATCGCGTTGGCAACTTGGTTTCGAGCCGCAACGTAGCTGCTCCCATGGTTCGAATTCAGAACACTATCATTTTGATCAGATTCAGGAACTACAGTTGCGTTCAGAAAATGATGAGGCTGCACACCGTAGTGGACATTGTGCAGCCCTTTCGTGAACCCCTGCATGCCGCTGGGGTTACTTGACCACGTCGGGAGATCTCCACTCCTTGAAGCATCGTAGAATGAGTTGCTGTGCTGGACATCTCCATCTCTCAGACATTGAGCCACCTGATTCGAGCCTTGGCTCCACTTCCATGAAAATTTACTTAAACCGAACCCTTGCTCCCTGCCTAGAAAACAGTCCTCAACTCTTGCAACCATCTCTTCCCCCGAGACCTCCTTGCAACAACCGAAAATTGTGAGCGTCGCAACCTTCACTACCACCGTATCCTCCCCAATCCCAGCTACCTCAGTTTACACCACCAAGAACAGGAGAATTCAACACTTGAAAGCCCTTCTTGCCAAAGCTCATGCCACTCTCCAAATGACGTTAACATCCATGCCCTGTCACACACAGGCTTTTCACTACCATCACCGCACACCTCTTACACGAGACAACTGATCTAACCAGTCGTCATGCACCCTCCTAACGCACCAGGGACCCCAAAAAGCTGTAGCATTTGCAAGAGTCTTCACAGAGCCGCCTAAACCCCCTCGATCTACAACAGATAGTTCCACCCACACCAGCTTAAACCCAACCGCTGCAACACACTAACAAGCTCACTGATCGCTGACCAACACTAGCACCCACCCCTCTTCTCAGCGACACTGATAATAATGGTGGTCGTCATCAGCCGCTCATTCTATGCTTGGTTCTGGAATGCTCGGTTGCAGGGCGGAAAGTGAAGAGACAAGCTGCGACTCGTCCACTGGAGGGAACAGCGACGGCTAGTAGGCATCGGCACGCAGTGCGCAAATAGATAATACAAAATCATACACTGGGATCGATACTGCTTGTATAGGCCGTGAGGGAAGGTCCCCACGGGGCCCACTTCCGCGGTGTGACCCGCCAAGGCCCCCGGTATTGCGCCTCGGGTTCGCGATCACCCTGTGACGCTGCCCGCTGACTGCCGCTGGATTCGTTGCCGCGAGGTCCCGCCCCGCTGCCGCTCGCCGTTGTTCTCTGCTCATAACTCCCCTACAGTTCCTGCCGCTGACATTTCCAACCCTGTCTGTTGAGGATTGAACTTGCGCCTCATCTCTCCATACTCTCATGATGTGGTGTCTCCATCATTCAACCCATGAGTAATCTCTCAGCTTCTGTCCTTCCATTACATTTGCTGGTGAATTTCCATTCCTCTTTCCCTTCGTTTCGTGCGGAGAATTCCTCTACGATGTGCTGCTCCAGCTTTCCATCCCCCATGTACACTTTTGACCACAAGAAGTCTTGGTTGGTTGATGTCTGAATCTTTGAGTTTCCACCATTTATGACAATCTGCTCCCATTTACGGTGTAGTTATTGGTTCTTTTGAAATTAGTGTGCTGTTCACTTGCTTATTGTGCTTTCATTACACCAATTGTCATGCGATGATTCCGAATGGAGGTCATTTTTAGCTTTCTTACAAGCTGCTGTTTTCTTTTGATTGTACTCATAAATGAACCAGGTAGTACCCAAAATGTTATATTCCTCTCTCCAAAAAAACATGAACAAAGAAAATGGAACTTGTTATGAACTCTCTCTGTTTAGAATTTGACTAGTGCGGACTCAAACATGCGGTGCTGTTTTATAAAACCTTTTCATAGCCATGGATCGCATTTATAAATAGCACCAAAGTACTATTCAATGAATCATATATCGTTGATCGCGACAGTACTCGTGTGTTTTGATGTAAAAATTGTTTCTTTCAGAAACATACGACATTCTTTTAACAAAAAAACAACATCGACCACTCAGCAACCGTTATGCTTTTTTCTTTCTTTCCTGCGAAGGCAAGGCCGCGCTGCAGTAACAAACGAATTCTAGTAAACGTTACCCCAACTGATTGGACAACAACTTGGCAGGTCCATGCCCCATCAAAATCGGCGAATAGTCAACACCAAGTCCCGCCACATCCCCACTCAACCCGCAGTAAAATAAAATACAATCCAACTCACAATAATCCAATTTCCAATTTGGAAGCATCGACGAGCCACACGAGTAAAGGTTGGGTTCCAATTACTACAATCCTCTAATTGGGGGGTACCGGATTTTACACACACAAACACACAGCTAAAGGGAGCTCTCAAGTAGCAAGGAAGGCATTGAAAGTTACGGGTGCTTTTGCGGGACTTTTTCTGGCCAGAGGAGGGAAAGCAGGAGCCTGAGGGGGAGCGAGAGAGTGCGCGGAAGCATTCGTGCGGAGCTGAAAGGGTGTGGACAAGCGAAGAACCGACACAGGTATGTAGGAGATAGGAGCCCCTCATTGTCCGGGGTAGAGTCGAAACGACGAATTCGCTAGTAGTAGTTCTAGTCGCAGTAGCACTTGGGGCCCAAAGATAGGGGGCCCGGGAGAGAGCCCTTCGGGATTCTCAATGCAACCACAAAGTCAGGGGAGACGGTGATGTGAGCCCGCGGGGCTGCAATCTCGTATCCACTTGCGTTCGCGGTAATGGGACCAGGGTTGTTGACTCTGCAATACTTCTGACTTTCGACGATGCAGCAACCACGTTGACCCCCGTGTATGGGCGGATCTCGGGGTATCTCGCAGTTGCCCGTCGGGTGTCACGGGGGTATCTGAGGCCGGGTCTGACTGAGTGAGTGGGAGGGGGGGGGGGTGTGTTGCGGCTCCTTCTGTATTTGCCTTTCGTGCTTTGCCTTTTGCATTGTCTTCTTTTTGGGTTTTTCAGACATGATTCTTTCAGACTTTGGCTGTGTTGGAGAACCGTTGGCTGTTGTGGCTAACTGGCTCTTTGTGGTTGTCATGATAAAAGCATACTGGTATTTTTATTTTATTCTTCTTTTTTCTTCTTTTTTGAATCCCAGGTTGAAGCTCCTTTTTGTTTTATTCTTCATTTCCTTCTTTTTCTTCTTCTTCTAATCCTGTGCATTCCTGACAATTCACCTTGGGTGTTGTAATTTAGCAGCATCCACAGAAAGTGAGTGCACTCCGCAACAGTGAGTTTGCCCTGGGGAGGTTTGTTTTGTTTTGTTTTGTTTTTTTTTTTTTGTTAAACACGATGGTAAAAACAAGATGTGCAAGTTTCTCCTTTTTAAAGGAAATTATTTTATATATATATATATATATATATATATATTAGTACACATATTTTATACATGTAATAAAAATGTCAATATATCATGGAGATTTTTTTAAAAAAGGTCCAATTCATAATTGATTGAAAATGAAATCAATAGTACTCACCTTCATTTCTCACTTTCTTTTTATCAAACCTCATTTCAACATTCCAAGCTTAACCATGTCATAGTATAATAATAGTACTAATAATTATTAAAACAAAAGGGAATGGACCCATTGCTTAGAGGTATAACAATGGGTCTGAAACCATAATCAAATACACCAAACCATGCTCCTCAGAACATAACACAAAATGCATACAAGTCAACTACAAATTACTGCTGATTCTAAGATACTCTGTGAATAGCAGATTTGGTGGCAGTTCACCTCAAATCCAGTGAGTAAAATCTCAGCAAATTGATCCTATTTTCCTTTCTAGATTATCAACCTTAAAGATGTAAGTTAATCCACAAGTTGGGTCAGCCCCATGGCTTCATGCAAAACCTGGGGCATGATAAGTGGTGGGCGCACTGAAGTAGTAGCAGATAGTGTTGACACCATGGCTCCACGCAAAAGAGGGGGCCTTGAACAAAGGGGGTTTCCGGGGGGGGGGGGGGTTCAAAATGTATTGTTGTTGGAACATGTGCACTTGGTGAAGAGTGACACAACCAAAAAACATACTCCCCTGAATTTTTGGGTTGGATGAAGTGATCCAACTGTTTGCATTGGCTCCATGTCTTGTGAAAATTTGAGTTTTTGGAATTAAATATCTATTATTATTATTATTATTATTATTTTTTCTTTGATATGGATGGTGAGGTCTTACCTACAAATGGCGGCAACCACTACACAGCTGCCATGGAAATGGGTTGGTATGATATGTGACAGTGCAATTTTTACTCGCAGCCTTTTTCCCCTAACATACAGTGTGGAATCAGGACTGATTGTGCTACATGACTCCAGCTTGTTGTTATTAGAGTTGTTGAAAAGATATACTACTGGTTTTTGTAAAATATACAAATAGGTCACATGAAGAAAGAAAAAAAATGGATACATATATATATATATATATATATATTTGTTGTCTCCCAGGTTTCAACTTCTTGAAGCTTTGACCAAAATGTACTACCTTTTGCAGTAACATTTATCACAGAGTAACATGAAATTGTTTAGTTGGGATTTATCTCCAAGTGTAGTTTCCTGCTCTCAACAAGTTCCACAAATAGGGAAATTGCCAATGTTTTCAAGCCTCAAGCAGGAATGCCATGTTCACTCGAGATCAGACTCAAGGTTAAAACTTTCCAACTCAACCAAGTTCTGCAATTAATCAAAAATGCAATCTGCAGTGTGATTGGCGGTGGGGTCCAGATGCTATCATGTTAATCAATTTTCCTCCAATTTAACAATCTAAATACCCAAACAAATGGTGCCACAGAGAAAATACCAGTTTCTATCCAGAGTAACCATAAAATAATAACAACAATAAAATAAATAAACAAATGACCATATACTCCACCTCAGATGTTGAAAAGTGCGTCCATGCCATGATGAAAGGAAACTCATTTTTCAACGCGCTGCTCAGTCCAAGTTACACATTGTTTTGAGTCGTCCCTAAGTCTCCGAAGAATGTCAACAATGCAGAAGGAATTGTTAAAATGAGAATTTGCAACCTGAGTGACAAAACACTGGAAGAAAGGTGTCATTAAGGAAACAGATCCATGCACTGGCACACAATGGAAAATGGAGAGGCTCACAGCAAACCTGACTCCCACAAGATGAGGAGATTTCTCATGTTGCAGCACTGAGTAGCAATCCCAGTGTCAAAATCCTGTTTTAGGGGAATCTCGATCATGTCCCCAAATTCTTTTTAACTTGAATAGCATCTAGTCGACGCCAAATTTGATTTCCAGGTGCACAACAAGGAAGACTATAGGTATCTCGAAAGAAACACCAACCCGCTCACAGAAAAAAAAAAAAAAAAAAAAAAAAAAGTTAACCATTTGTATGGCACCCGCCACAGAGTGGTGGGAGCTCAAGCTGTGTCCTGCGAAATCGGAGAAACCTCTGATTTAGAAGGGTGAGGAGAAGTGGGGTAGATGCTGTGTCCCATCCCTCTTTGCTATTGAGAGAACCTGCACGCTTCGTTGGGATGATTGATTTGATTGAAACCAAATTTAGGACTCCCTTGCAACATGCTTCCAATACCAGCGAGGGAATGATCAAACACCCATAACAGGAAAATGCATATATTAGATCAGTTTTTTTTAACTGGGAAAGAGCCTCTACACCCGTGTAGCTCTGGCATGCTCATGATGAGGTCTACACCTGTTTTGTTTGTGGATCCGTCATTTTTAGTTACCGGTCTTGCTGAGTCCCCAGTTTGACTGCTGAAGCTTAAGGCATATTTTCGGAAATAGAATGCAGCCAGCCACTATTTTTGAGTCTCACTGCGTCGATGGTCACATCGGCTCTATCATTGGTCTCGGCCGAATTGGCATTCTTTTACCCCAACCGATGATGCCTTGGACGCATCTTCGACACTGCAGGATAAGGCACTGGGATGAGAAGCTCGAGCATGGTGTGAGATTTAAAAAAAAAAAGAAAAAAGAAAAAAAGAAAAAAGCTGCGAAATGTGGCCCTGAGGCTTGTCCTCCTGTCACGGACGAGTCTTATCAACAACGATTCATGCAATGCAATGTAAT